CCCTTGATCAAGCCCCACCAGCCATCCTATGCCCTCCTTGCCATTGATTTTAGATCATTTGTTGTTCCCTCATCCCTGGGTTGGTTGACAATCCTCTTCCTTTTCTCCGCCTCACCCTCTCCCTCTGGATTGATATTATTTAATTTTTCTCACATTGTGACATCTGGGGCTACCCTATTGTCTGGCATATAGTATGTACTTATGAGAAATGTATCAGGTGAGTAAAGAAGGTGATGCTTGCCCTCCCACCCTGTTTGGAAAGGAGTGGATAACTCTTCTTTTTGAGACCTTCAGGGAGAGGGAACTGAGTAACTGAGCGTGGGTATAAACCCTCAGTACTTATCATATTTCAGTGATCACTCGGTCAGCATGTCCTTGCTATTTTAAAGGTACTTGTAAATTTAAATTCCAAGCAAGGAAACAGCAAACTTCCTACCATGCAAAAAGTGTGTAGTTTACACACACTTAGCTCTGTTGTAAGGTAATCATACGTGTTTACATTTTTTGGCAGGAGAAATGATCATGAGTTTCAGGCTTTTATCCAGAGAGTCATAGAGAGTCCGGTGTTTACAATGGTCATGATCAGTACCATCTCGATGAATGCCCTGATCGTCGTCTTGTGGACCTATCCTGAAGTCAGATACCAATTATTCAGGATGTTTGAGGTAAGTAGAGATAATGGGTTTATTTTCTTGTTTAACCTGCTTTATTTATTTGTTTTTAATGTTGTGTAAGATGTTTAAGACGTTGTATTAAAAAATTATTTTTGTAGAAACAAGAAAACATACCCAAACCACTGCCATGGAATCCAATCCGACTCATAGTTACTCTGCAGGACAGAGAAGCACTGCCCCCTGGGTTTCTGACCTGTAAAGGCTTTAAAAATATACTCTCAAATGGTTGACTATGGTGGCGGCGGCAGCAGCAGCATGGTTTTTTAATCCCCTCAAATCCTTTTTTTAAAAACAGAGCAATTAAGTAGCAAAATCAAAACCGATGTGCAGCATGTACAACAGAAACAGTCACCAGAGTACCCTCAGAGCCGGACAAACTGCGTGGGATCAGCCAGAGGACTCCCTGGCAAGTACGGGAGGCCGACTTGAGAACTGATGTTGGGTGAAGTGCTTCCTCATCCCGGGCCAGAGGAATGCCTTCCTGGTAACGGACGTGGGGACTACATACATTGTTATCAACTCCGGCCGCCAAGACCATTTGAACTTTCAAAAAGAATCAGTCACTCAGAGAGAGGGCCCCATGCTTAGGAGAAGTACTGAAAGGAGCGTAAAGCTTGAGTGTGTTAAAGAAATAGAGAGGAACAAAGAGGAGATCTTGATAGAAGTGGAACTGGAAACAGACCCAGGGAATCTCTAAACGCATGCTCCCACATTTTACGGAACAAAATCGCATCAGTGAGAGCTCTGTAAAGTTGGAACCACATTTTCTTTTAAAAGTTCAGAATAATTAACTGATTACAAGCCTCTACATATAACCTCCTCCCTGGGTGACGGACAACAGAAAAGTGGGTGCAGGGAGACGTCGAACAGTGTAAGATTTGTCAAAATAATGATGTATAGATTATCAAG